ATTATCAAGTGTTGGAATTAAGGCCCTGATTCAGTAAGCAATTTAAGCATATGCCTAACTCTTTCAACTGGTGAGTCAGTGTCACGAACATGTCTAAGTGAGCTGCTTGATCAGGAACTAAAATGGGCTCAGCACCAGTCTGTATCCCTCTATTATATTATTATTGTTGTTGTTGTAGTAGTTAAAACACCATCTGGTTTAGCCATGAAATTATTGCATTGAATACTTTGTGTAAAACTTGTTAAGCACTTCACTGATGCCTGGAAAAAGTCACAATGTACTGCCATGTAGCAGAAAAATTGGAAAGCAGGCTGTTTTACAAATTTTAGACATATGCTAGGTCCTATTTATATCACTGCATATACTCTTTTTTTAAAAAAAAATTCCTAAAAGTGGACACTCACTAGGACTTTTTTGCCAGAAACAAGCTATTTCATCCTAAGGCCCTGGCTCATTATCAAGGGCACCTGGTTAGTAGGTCCTTAAAGAACACTAGTTGTCAAAGTAAATATTACCTTTTCTTTTTTAATAAAAAGCAAAAATCATGCATCATACTTTTAACAACATTCAGGGAATTACAACATTTAATAAAAAAGTTCTTCACATTTTTAAAAGGCCAGGTTTATTACTTACTACCTTGACAATGTTTAGCAAGGAATCTAAGAGTAGTCTCTGCAGCAATATCACATAATTTATTTACAGTTACATAAATGCAAAATTTGTTTCCAGACTCAGGAAAAAGACTGCAGTATCTCAGCAGAAGGAATTAGGCTGAGTTCCTAAACCACTACTAGCTTGAACCTCAATAGCACTCAAGCTCCCACATTCTCCCTGACAATGGCAGGACAGCTTGAGTTTAAAGCCCCACTTGACTTAAGTTACAAGATTTGTATATGCAGAAGGAAGCTGGGTTGGGGTAACAGTTCAGTTATACCTCAAGCTAACTATGCTGTGAAGGACCTACCCATAAAGCTATAGGATGTGAATGTCTAAATTCTCGTCTACGCCACCCAGAGATTCAAGCTGACAGATTTTAAAACTGATTAAGCTTAACAAGTTTTAATTTTTTTTCCTGGCCAGTGTGGACTAGGTAAAAGCATTTTACACGTGTTCTAGTTCTCAATCTTCAGATGCACCCGACTTAGCTGTGGGGCAGAAATGGAGTTGGAAGTATCAAAGCCTCAGAGAAAACCTCAAAGGTGGATGGACAACCTGTAAAGAACTCAATCAGCACTGGGAATATGGAGACATTCATCTCTTTAGATTTAGATTTTTTTTTTATAAAGTGAGTCATTTATTCCATATGAGTAGTTTTCTCCTTTATTGCTCTACATCTTCTGCTTTCAAGAAAACTCAATTACCTAAATATTGTTTGGAAAGACTTCAGTGATCTTCATTCGCTGCTAATCTCCTAAAATCATAGAAATGCAGGGCTGGAAGGGACCCAGAGATGCCATCAAGTCCAGCCTCCCATATAAAGTCTTACCATGTCTCTTCTCCCTCTCCCCCCAAACCTCCATTTTCTCAAGACTAAACATGCCAAGTCCTTTTTATCCTTTCCTCATAGGGGAGGTTTTCTAAACGTACGTGGGTGGGTGGGTGCGCACTCTCTTCTATGGACTCCTTCTCTAGTTTGTCCACATCTTTCCTCAAGTGAGGCATCCAGAACTGGACACAGCACTTCTGTTGAGGCCTCACCCGTACCAATTACAGCAGTACAATTGTAGCCACACAGGGCTCTAGTAATCTTACAGATATAAACTGGCAGAATGGCAGGTCTCTCCTAGCTGCCAGCCCCACTCCTGGGGAGCCAGCTGCACTGCAGGCTCTGCAGTATAAGCATTAAACTGCAGAGCCTGCAGCACAGGCAGCAGCCGGCTCCTTGGGAGCCAGCGCATGCTGGAAACAGCACATACCAGCTCCCCACCTGCCAGCCCTGCTCCTAAGGAGCTGGGTGCCATGCCACACTGCTGCCTTTGTATCAGATACTACTTTTAAGTCAGCTCCTGGTGCATATTGGCTCCCAGCCTCTGGCCCCATTCCAAAGGAGCCAGCTGCCACCTCACGCTGCAGGCTCTTATACAGACCCAACAGATGGGGTGGCAGCTGGCTCCCTGGGAGCAGAGCCAGGAGCCTGTGTATAATTGTTACAGTAACTGATAAGTTCATGCTTACCAGTTACCCATTTAAATAGTTACACTATTTCATCTTTAGCGAACAAACACTCAGGATGAAACCTACCAAAGAATAAAAGTGTCACATAGTAACCATGTCATATGGATTTGTTGGGCAGTTGGAACTCTGAGGTTCTTTTGGATATGGAATAACTTCACAAAGAAAATAGATGTCCAGCCCACCTTTCCAGGCCTTGGTGAACAGGCTTGGACTACAAGTTTCTCCATGTTATAATGCAGAGAGGTCAGAGTGATCAAAGGAAACTGAAGCTATGAGGCTTGTGAGACTCAGGAAAGAGATCAAAGTGCAAGACATCTGCTTCTGGGGATAACACAAATCCCTTCCCTGAGGCTTCTGCAAGAAGGAAACAGTCTGTGTGACATTTGATACTACTCCTGTTTTAAGAAATAGGGCTTTATATTTTGTAAACTAACAGATTACACTAGGACAATATTTGATTTTGCATCACCAATTTTTGCCTGGAAAAACGAACACAAAGGTCCAAAAATCTGCACAGCAACAAGCAAAAATACTAAGTTACTACACTTAGTCCCATCAATTTGATAAACTTGCAGCAAACAAATCAAAACACTAGAAAGTCTACACCTTTTATAAAGGAAATCTTGGAGAACTGTTTCTAGTGTGAGATACTTGTATCCATAATTGGAAAGGTAAAGACATAGTACATTTTTGCTCAAGAAAAGGAGGTCAGCGTTAGGCCTCAAAGCAGACAAGCAACAGTTTAGCTGACCTGGGTTCTCTGCTGTACAAAGAATTCCATTTGAAATCACCATGTAACAAAATTCTCAAATTGACATTATTTAGGAGCGTGAGAAGAAAGGAAAAATTGATGCCCTACTACTCCTCTCATAAGGGAAACAGTACAATTACATATAAGAAATTGTAACAGGATTGTTTACCGTTTTCTTAGCAATTCGCCATTCACAATCTTCAATACTGTAGTACTGGATTAGAGTATTTTTCAGCTTTGATGCTAGCAAAGATGCATTTGGAAGGATTTCCATTCTTTTTTTCTCCTGTATAGAAATGTAGGATTTAAGTTAAAGATCAGCCATTAAGAGGCCTTACTTTCTTTGTGAGCTAATCACTGTCTGACACCTGGAACCAATATTTTAAGGACAGGAAAACTAAACAGGATTAAGCTAAAGTGAACTAAAAGGCCACTTTAGCATAAGGGCAACTACACAGATATGATTTTAATATGCAGTGTACACTTTAATTAAATTGGCCTGATTTTCTTCAATGTCCCTAAAACAGTTTTCCAAAGAGTTAAAACTGCTGAATCCTTTCCCCTCTGAAGACAATGGGAGTTGTGTCTCTGACTTCAATGGAAACAGGCTCTAAAGTGAAAGGCAAATCAATGGTATCTTGAATATATCAAATCACGGAAGGCAAAGCACGTCATTACTTTAGCTAATCTCATAAATATGTACATTATACACATGCTTAAATATGGGTCAGGAGCTACTGTAAAAGGAAGTTAATGGTGATCACCCACAGTATGCATGACCTAGCACAAAAATGTTTTACACAATACTACCTTATGACAGAGGTGGACAATAATTTTTGCATGAGGGCCACTTCAAAAATTTTGAAGAGGTTATGGGCCACCCTGGAAGGCGCGGGGGCCTTTGAATAGCAGAAGTTGAAAGGGCTCGCACCTCCCAGGCATCAGCTATTTAAAGGGCTCGCAGCTCCGGCCCCATGCTAGCACATTGCCTAGGAGCCAAGAACCCGCGAGCCCGTTCAACTGCTTCTGTTTAAAGGGCTCATGCCTGCTTTGGGGCTGTTGCCTGCCACCATGGGGAAGGTGCAAGCCCTTTAAATAGAAGCAGCTGAAAGGGGTAGCACATGGCTCCCAGGGAATGTTCTAGCAGTGGGGCAGCAGCTATGAATCCTTTTAACTGCTTCTATTTAAAGGGCTTGCCCGAGCCCTGATTTATGGAAAAAGACAACCCTGTGTAATGTCAAGACTGTCAAAGATGACTACTCATTTATAGATACTAAACAGACAGGAGTGCATATTCTAATTGTCATAAGGGGAACACTATTGCCAGTGTTTTATTGTGACTAGGTGTTCTCCAAGAGTGCCTACCAGATTGGTTCCTACAGGCAAGACAAACTGGGGAACATGTAGTTGAAGGATCCCACGGAGACATTAGGGTTAGATGTAGGGATGTGAAAGTTAACCAGTAAGGGTGATGTTATTGGTTCCGGTTAACCAGTGGTGGCTAGAACAGCTCTCTCCTCTAGCCTCACAGGGGCGGGAGGGAGGGACACCACAAGCAGGGGCTGCTTCAGCATCCAGGCCCCAGGGCAAGCCTGGCCTCAGCAGGTGCGGAAGTAGGGGAGGCACTCCAGCCCCTCTGGACTGGAGTGGCTGGTTCCCCCCCCCCCCCATCCCCTTTAATTGGTTAGTCAGTTAAATATTAACTGATTTAACCAATTAAATGGGATTTCACATCCATAGTTAGATGGCAGCTAAGTAAGAGTTTTGAGGATTAATATTTTGGACCTATGCACCTAAATTACTCTGAAGATATAGCCCATAGTTAGTAAAATTAGTTAACTCCTGCGTCTGAAATGAAAGATTGGACAATTTGCCTTTTTTTTTTTAAGAGATCCCATTCCTAAGAGATAATTACAGTCCTCAAAACTACAACCATTCAGAGATCTGCTCTACTCCTTATTTAAAAAAGGCCTACTGTAAAAATGAAAAATTAAGTTCAGTATAATTTTAGATTAAGTTAAAACCTTTAGTGTGACTAGCAATTTACTTTCTTAAATGTGGAGCCCTAATGCTTTGTGTAATCCCATTGCAAATGAACTATCAGATTGAGTTATGCAACCAGAGAGAGCCGTTTCATTTCACTTTGCTATCTGGATAGTTAGTTTCTCTTTCTAGTTTTCAGGCACTAGCATAATGCAGTATTTGGGTTCCATATCCTATAGGAGAATGTTATTTTTCTAACTTGTATAGTTTTAATTTTATGGAGAAATGGATTAATATTTTAAAATACAACTCTAAGGGTTAAATTGGTTTGTCTTGACTAGGTACACATGGAAGGTGAAAATAGCAATGGAACAAGGAATCTTCCCCCTCTTCCTCAAACTCTTGAGCTAGGAATCATTTGTAATCAGAATGAAAGCCAGCAATACTACTCCCAGATTAGTGCCAGTGGTGAAACTAATTTCTTCATGAGACCCAAGCACTCCAACTAACCTTACAAGTGAAGGCAGACCTACCTATTCCATAAACTTGCCCTAGAAGAATTTTAGCTGAATAAACCTACAATGAGCAGACATCTCATTGTTAAAAGGATCAGTCCCATATTTAATCCCTCGTACAGGTGTTTAGACTCTTAAAAATTGGCAGAGGTTGTCCTGTATTTTCTGTCTCCCCTCAACAGTATCAGTGGTTCCTGCTCCTGGCCAGATCCCTGCTCCTCAGCCACATGCCTACCAGCAGGGTCCAGTGGCCAGGTGAAGATGGAGCACCTGGGGCCTGCTGCCTGATGGCTCTAGGTCAGCTGGGACCCATCCCCACCCATCTTGTTTCCAGCTGGCACTGGCTGCAAGCTGCTGTGATTGGGGAGTGTAGGCAGGCACCAGATGGTTGTCACCTCTGCTGCTTACCCATTAGCTCTTTACATGCTTTCCCTTTCATTATCCTCTCTTCTTCCTTGCCTCTCCCACCAGCTGCTCCTCCATAACCCCTCCAGGAGGGACACATCCTGCTCCTAATGCTGTGACCAGAGGTTGGTTCTCTGCAGTGTGTTCTTTGCAGATACTGGCTGGCAGACTCCTTACTTTCCCCATTACCTTGGGCTTGTCCAGGGCACCAGTCCAGCCAAAGGTATGCAGGCTGAGGTGCTGGTCAGGAAAAGCTGAAGTCTGCATGTGCCAAAGCCCCACATAGCACTGGCATGGGAAAGCCACTCCATCCCTCAGCTAAGTTCTGGAGTGGCGATGCTGAAGCAATTTCCAGCCTCTTCACACTCCCAACCTGCAGACTCCAGAATCCCCAGGACAGGGATGTAGCACACTTTATAACCCCCCCCCCCCCCCCCACACCCACCTCGGG